GGGGAGGGGAAGGGGGTTTTGAAATAAATAGGGAGAGAGTGGGAGGCGGATAGAAGAGGGATAGACGAGAGGATAGGTGGAGAGGAAACAAACAAGTCAAAGAGGCGGGGATGGAGCCAGTAAAGGTGAGTGTAGGTAGGGAGTTAGGAAGGGGATAGGTCAGTCCAGGGAGGACGGACAGGTCAAGGGGGCGGGATGAGGTTGGTCGGTAGGAGATGGAGGTGCGGCTTGAGGTGGGAGGAGGGGATAGGTGGGAGGAAGAACAGGTTAGGGAGGCAGGGACGAGCTGGACGCCTCTCTGCTCCTATGATGCTGCTTGGCCTGCTGTGTTCATCCAGCCCTGCACCTTGTTGTCTCACCTCAGAGTGTCAGGTCTTTCCATTCTAATCCAAAAACTCTCGTAATAATATGGTATGTGTCAACCAGAACCCATAAACCTCTCATAGTGAAAATTAATGACTCCAAGTATTGTTTCTCATCCTGTCAGATCTTTTAAATTGGTCAAGATTTTTAAACATTTCCTGATTTGTCTTTTTTCAACTCTTATCCCAATCGTTCTTTGCCTTTTTATTGCTCTTTCTGCACTTAATTTGGCAACAAAGTCCCGGAATATTATGCACATTTCTTTTTAATCATTGCACTGTTTTCCTGTATTCAGGTTGTGTAAGGGAGATAACACAGTGGCTTCCCTCTTGTGAACCAGTTCAAACATTGTGTTGGGAATAATGGTCTCTGTTTATTGTGAAGTACGTCAGGAATATTCAGGGTCCACACATACACAATTAAGTATCGAATTCTGTACACTGTTAATTCAGTTACCCTGTTCCTTGACAACAAGGGGCAGAGCTGGATGAACACAGCAGGCCAAGCAGCATCATAGGAGCAAAAAGGCTGACGTTTCGGGCCTAGACCCTTCATCAGAAATGGGGAGGCGAAGGGGGTTCTGAAATAAATAGGGAGAGAGGGGGAGGCGGATAGAAGATGGATAGAGGAGAAGATAGGTGGAGGAGAAACAGACAGGTCGAAGAGGCGGGGATGGAGCCAGTAAAGGTGAGTGTAGGTGGGGAGTTAGGGAGGGGATAGGTCAGTCCAGGGAGGGCGGACAGGTCAAGGGGGCGGGATGAGGTTAGTAGGCAGGAGATGGGGGTGCGGCTTGGGGGGGGTGGAGGGGATAGGTGGGAGGAAGGACAGGTTAGGGAGGCAGGGACGAGCTGGGCTGGTTTTGGGATGCGGTACAGGGAGGGGAGATTTTGAAGCTTGTGAAATCCACATTGATACCATTGGGCTGCAGGGTTCCCAAGCAGAATATGAGTTGCTGTTCCTGCAACCTTCGGGTGGCATTGCTGTGGCACTGCAGGAGGCCCAGGATGGACATGTCGTCTGAGGAATGGGAGGGGAAGTTGAAATGGTTCATGACTGGGAGGTGCAGTTGTTCATTGCGAACCGAGCGTAGGTGTTCTGCAAAGCGGTCCCCAAGCCTCCGCTTGGTTTCCCCGATGTAGAGGAGGCCACAATGGGTACAGCTGATGTAGTATACCACATTGGCAGATGTGCAGGTGAACATCTGCTTGATGTGGAAAGTCTTCTTGGGGCCTGGGATGGGGGTGAGGGAGGAGGTATAGGGGCAGGTGTAGCACTTCCTCCGGTTGCAGGGAAAAGTGCCGGGTGTGGTGGGGCTGGAGGGGAGTGTGGAGCGGACAAGGGAGTCACGGAGACAGTGGTCCTTCCGGAAAGCAGATAAGGGTGGGGAGGGAAAAATGTCTTTGGTTGTGGGGTCGGATCGCAGATGGCGGAAGTGTCGGAGGATTATGCGTTGGATCTGGAGGTTGGTGGGGTGGTACGTGAGGACGAGGAGGATTCTTTTTTGGTTGTTCTTGCGGGGACAGGGTGTGAGGGATGAGTTGCGGGAAATGTGGGAGACACGGTTGAGGGCGTTTTCGACCACTGAGGAGGGGAAGTTGCGGTCCTTGAAAAATGAGGACATCTGAGATGTACGGGAGTGGAATGCCTCATCCTGGGAGCAGATGCGGCGGAGGCGAAGGAATTGGGAATAGGGGATGGCATTTTTGCAAGAAGGTGGGTGGGAGGAGGTGTATTCTAGGTAGCTGTGGGAGTCGGTAGGCTTGAAATGGATATCGGTTTCCAGGTGGTTGCCGAGATGGAGACAGAGAGATCCAGGAAGGAGAGAGAGGTATTAGAGATGGTCCAGCTGAACTTAAGGTTGGGGTGGAAGGTGTTGGTGAAGTGGATGAACTGTTCGAGCTCCTCATGGGAACACGAGGCAGCGCCGATACAGTCATCAATGTAATGGAGGAAGAGGTGGGGTTTACGGCCAGTGTAGGTACGGAAGAGGGATTGTTCCACGTAACCTACAAAGAGGCAGGCATAGCTTGGGCCCATGCGGGTACCCATGGCCACTCCCTTTGTCTGTAGGAAGTGGGAGGAATTGAAAGAGAAGTTGTTGAGGGTGAGGACGAGTTCGGCTAAGCGGATGAGGGTGTCAGTGGAGGGGGACTGGTCGGGCCTGTGGGACAGGAAGAAGCAGAGGGTCTTTAGGCCATCTGTATGGGGAATGCAGGTGTATAGGGACTGGACGTCCAAGGTAAAGATGAGGTGTTGGGGACCGGGGAATTGGAAGTTCTGGAGGAGGTGGAGGGCGTGGGTCGTGTCACGGACATAGGTAGGGAGTTCCTGGACCAAGGGGGAGAAAATGGAGTCCAGATAGTTGGAGATAAGTTCGGTGGGGCAGGAGCAGGCGGAGACAATGGGTCGACCAGGGCATTCAGGTTTGTGGATTTTGGGAAGGAGATAGAAGCGGGCGGTGCGGGGTTGGGGAACGATGAGGTTGGAGGCCGTGGGTAGGAGGTCACCTGAGGTGATGAGGTTGTGGATGGTTTGGGAGATGATGGTTTGGTGCTCGGGGGTGGGGTCATGATCAAGGGGGCAGTAGGAGGAGGTGTCGGAGAGTTGGCGTCTGGCCTCGGCGATGTAGAGGTCAGTGCGCCATACTACAACTGCGTCTCCCTTGTCCGCGGGTTTTATGGTGAGGTTGGGATTGGAGCGGAGGGAGTGGAGGGCTACACGTTCTGCGGGGGAGAGTTGGAGTGGGTGAGAGCGGTGGAGAGGTTGGTTTTACTTTAAGAGTAGACTGCTGACAAGATTTAGCACTATAATCATTAAGGCTGTGTAATTATTGCACTCAACCAGTAAGTGCAGCAGAAACAGTACATTGAGGTCAAAGTGAATTTTACACAATGCATTAGGCAAAATAAAAACCAAAAACATAAATTGCAGGAAAAGCTCAGATATGGCAGCATGTGTGGAGAGAAATCAGAGATAAGGTTTCAGGTCCAGTAACTCTTCCTCAGAATTACTACCAAACAGTTTTGACCTGATAAGTTATTTTCACCCTTGTGGAATCTAATACAGAATTTAGTTAAATGAGAATTCATTAACAGGCAATTTAAGGGGGGCATACAGGAATTTCCTTTGGCTTCCCGATTTCCAAAGGCCAGAGGAGCCAGATAAGCTAGCTGGATACCTTGGTGGAAACCAGGCACCCAGGCAGGTGGAGAGGCCAGAAAGCAGCAGTCAAAGGTCAAATCACAGAGGGGTCCTCACTCCCAATACACTTGGCTCTTCAGGTTTGAGAGGTAGCCCACTTTCTTTAAATCAGACAACGAGCCCACCCTCTGGTTATTCGGTTATGAAAGGGTTGCGCTAAGGAAGTAACAATGGGTGAATGTTTCTCCACAAAGTGTGGTTTCTGCCCACATTTTAGCCTACTAGTTGAAGCCTGCTCAGAAAACAAAGAAACCGTGGGCAGCCAGTCAGTGTAATAAACAGAAAGCTCAAATCCTTCACCACTGACTGCAAACTTCGGACCTTTATCAGTTTGAGTGTGTGTGTGTGTGTGTGTGTGTGTGTGTGTGTGTGTGTGAGAGAGAGTGTGAGAGTGTGTGTGTGTCTGTGTATGTGTGACTGAGTGTGTGTGTGTGTGTGTCTCTCTCTGAGCATGACACGTATACAGCAGAAAGTACACACCTACACATGCAGCAAGCCACCTCATTTCTAAATCCCCTTCTTCTTAACATCTCATCTCCACCCACGAAATTTATCATAATACTTACGATTGCATCGTTTTTGCACAAATCGCAGCTTGCATGCTGTCCGATAAGTCGAAAGCCTGATTACATCGTAATTTTGGGCTCCTGGAAGGAAAACAAAATAATAATAATCTTACATCTGTTCATTAACTGCCCAACAGCACAATAACAACAATACTTCCAACAGAATTAATGCTGCTATCAGTTAATTAGCAAACATCCACTTGGAAACCCATTGTGCTGAATACTGGATTTAGAAAAACAAATTATATTGAAGTGTGGACAACGTAGTGGATTACAACATTATCTTTCCCAGCACAGGCTTTCAACTTGAATCGGACCCACACATTTGGTTAAAAATAAAAGATTTCACTCGACACAAATTGAATCTGCAGCCGTTCATATTTTTGCTCATTGAGTGATGAAACAAGACAATATTTCACACAGACCTGCACAACTTTAACTTGAAAATATTTAACATTATAAATCCTATGTGTATATGAAATTATATTGCATGGATTCTCTTTAATGTTAATAATATTTGCATTAGATTGAAGAATGGTTGCTCTATTTCATTCAAATAGAAATGCACATTTCAGCATTTACCTGGGCCATGTCAGTATTTGTTGCAGAATCTACGATCTGCCTTCATAACCTATCATAGTGAAGAAATCACCTTGACAGATTCCACTACAATTACAGTGGAGTTTTTCTGTACATGGAAGAGCCTTTTCTGGCATTTCAGTTCTGTCAATGTCTCCCATATTTCATTGAAAACCAACAGGAATTATTTTCAAAAACAATGGAAATACCGCTTTTCCAAGCGATTAATTTAACTAATTGCCAGGATTATGCTATACAATACTGACTAAAGCATCAAAAGAAAATGTCAGTTTGTTCATTGAACAGAACAATGGCAAAAATAATTCAAGTAGCAACAAACAAAGCTTTTCTCTGCTTCAAAAGAAGCAGGAAAGTTGCTCTTTCATCTGAAGTGCTTAAATCTATACCTCAGTCAACTGACCTCTTTATGCATGGGTTGAACCTTCTGCATATCTAGGGACTGATGCAGTCCAAGACCCAAAAGGTCCTACTTGAGCATTGGCAAGGCCACAAACTCAGACCTTGCAAGTTGCAAAACTGTCTGGTAACATCGCTCATTCTACACAGCAAACACTTTCAAAGGACAACTCTGCACAAAACTGTACATGTGTCCCAATCCAAAGCTATCTAAAAAAGCAACAAAACAATGTCAAAATTAGATTATAGTGAAACTCAGGAAGCTCAGTGTGAAAAAAATACATAACTTTTTTTAAAAATGAAGTTTTTAAAAATGGAAATGAATTTTTAATTAAAAAGCATAGCCCAATTATGTACATTTAAGAACTAAACATGGCTTTTGCCAACTCATACTGGAGTATCAAGTGAAGACAACAATGTCTTTAACAAGGATAGAAAGAGCTCAAGGATGTTACAACCAGAATTACAGGATAACCAAGAGGTTAATTAGTAAGAAAAAGGAATTAATGCCAGTAAAGACAAGGCATCAGAGAAACTTAAGGAACTAAAAGCTGACAAATTCCCTGGATCTGTTGGTTTACAACTTATGGTTCTAGAAGAGGGTGTGGCACAGAGATGGGTGCACTGGTTATGACTTTGCAAAATTTTTTTTTAAGTTCTGGTAAGGTTCTATCAGTGTGCACATTAGCAAATGTAACTCTGCTATTCGTAAATGGGTGGAGAGGGAGACCTATTAGTTTGCCATCAATCATCAGGAATCAATTATTATGGAAGTTTCAACAATGTACATCAAAAATCATGGCATGGTCAGGCAAAGTTAACATGGTTTAATAAGACGGAAATAGTGTTGACAAATTTTTGAGAATGGAGCTAGTTGAGTAGATAAAGGAGAGCCAGTAAATACACCATACTTGGCTTTCCAAAAGACACTCAGTTAGGTGCCACATTGTGGCTGGATTAACTGCATGGGTGGGTGGTTAGCAGAGTGGAAGAAAACTGTAGGGATAAATGGGTATTTTCATGTTGGTAAACCGGAACTAGTGAAATGGCACAAGGATCAGAGTTCAGTCCCCAGTGATGGCCACATTTTGGCCACAATTCATAGCCTAGGCTTTTAGAACAGTTGATTTGGGCAATTGAATAAAGAAATAAACTAACATTAAATAATTCTACTAATCCTATAACTTTTCTTTCTAACATGATAAAGTACATACATTTCATCTTATAACATTCAAGAGAATAAAAACATCCACTCAAACTAACTGTAATACATCACTTAGAAATCTTTCAAAATCACTGTGACGACTATCTGAGTCACTGAATAATTTGTCCCTAAAGCCTTTATTTTGGTTGTATAACATTATCATGGGAATCTTCCTCATCTCCGTTCTCATCAATCATACTAGTAACTATGGCATCACAATTTCACAAGCAACCATCCTTACAAACATTAAATTTCCCACATTTAATAAATGATATTTTGACAATTTTTTTAATCAAGTTCATTTCATGTGTCTATGTCTCATTGTAATAACGCTTTAAGTGAAGATACTTACATACTTGCCTCTCTTGAGCATGTTTTCTCACATTTCAACAACCAATTATTCCACATCTTTTGGATACTGTCCTGGAGAACTTCACTTATATACATATCCAAAGCCTGGAGCTCATTTGGAAGGCCATCAGGATTAACTGCTGGTTGACCTGACTTCCACAGACTACATCATCAGCAATGTGGAATGTGAACATTGAGCCTGCTCTGCCTTTCAATAATATCACTGCTTACCTGATCATGGTTTTCAAACCAAAACCCCAATACCTTTTGACGACTTTGTTAAACAAGACTCATTCCAGCTCTGCCTTAATCATATTCAAGGATTTTGCCTTGCCCGCTTTCGGGGGGAGAGAGTTCCAACGACTTTCAATCATCTGAGGGAAAGAAAAATTCTCTTTTTCTCTATCTCAAATGGGAACTCCCTTACAGTCTGGTTCTAGTCTCTCTCACAAGGGAAAACATCCTTTTTAGTGTCCATCCTGTCAAATTCCCTTAGGAACTTGTATGTTTAAATAAGGTCACCTCTCATTCTTCTAAACTTCAGTTTAAATTCCCCTAACTAGCAGGCCCAACCTATCCAACCTTTCATAAGAACATAAGAACATAAGAACTAGGAGCAGGAGTAGGCCGTCTGGCCCTTTGAGCCTGCTCCGCCATTCAATAAGATCATGGCTGATCCTTTCGTGGACTCAGATCCACTTACCCGCGTTCTCACCGTATCCCTTAATTCCTTTATTGTTCAAAAAAAATCTACCTTTTTTTTAAAAACATTTACTGAAGTAGCGTCAACTACTTCACTGGGCAAGGAATCCCACAGATTAACAACCCTCTGGGTGAAGAAATTCCTCCTCAGTTCAGTCCTAAATCTGCTCCCTCTAATTTTGAGGCTATGCCCTCTTGTCCTAGCTTCACCTGCCAGTGGAAACATCCTCTCTACTTCTATCTTATCTATTCCCTTCATAATTTTATATGTTTCTATAAGATCCCCCCTCAATCTTCTGAATTCCAATGAATATAATCCCAATCTACTCAGTCTCTCCTCATAAGCCAACACCCTCAACTCCGGAATCAACCTAGTGAACCTCCTTTGCACCCCCTCCAGTGCCAGTACATCCTTTCTCAAGTAAGGAGACCAAAACTGCACACAGTACTCCAGGTGTGGCCTCACCAGCACCTTGTACAGCTGCAACATAACCTCTCTGCTTTTAATTTCAATCCCTTTAGCAATGAAGGACAAAATTCCATTTGCCTTCCTAATTACTTGTGGTACCTGCAGACCTACCTTCTGTGATTCATGCACAAGGACACCCAGGTCCCTCTGCATAGCAGCATGCTGCAACTTTTTACCATTCAAGTAATAATCCTTTTTACTATTACTCCTACCAAAATGTATGTCCTCTTGGGATAAGACCCCAACATCAGGAATCTGAGTGGACCTTCTCTGAATCTCTTCCAATGTGAATTACATACTTCCTTAAATAAGAAAAGCAAAGTTACACACAGTATTCTAGATATGGTCTCACAAATGCCTTGTATAATGTCAGCAAAATATACTCCATTTTATATTCCATCACCTTGCAATAGATATCAACATTCCTTTCATCTCCCTGAACACTTGCTGTATCAAAATACTTTACTTTGCAATTCATGGACCCAGACATCCATGTATGTCTGTACTTTAGATGTCTGTAATCTCTCTGTTTAAATAATGTGCTACTTTAATATTCTTCCGGCCAAAATGCACAAGTTCACATTATCCCACATTGTGCTCCATCTGCTAAACTTTTGCCCACTCATTTAGCCCATCAAGATCCCTTTGTAGGCTTCTTCTGTCCTCTTCACAACTTAATTTCCAACCTATTTTGGTATTATAAGAAAAGTTAGTAACCATATATTAGGTCTTTTCATCCAAGTCATTTATGAAGTTTGTAAACAGTTGAGGACCCTGCACAGCTCCTTATGGCACGTCACTCAATGTGTCTTCTCAACCCAAAAGTGACACATTTATACTGAGTCTCTGTTTTCTGTTGGTGAATCTGTGTACCTTGGCTGAATCACCTCCAGGGCGAGTATGTCCTTCCTTGGATATGGAGGCCAAATCTCTGCATAGTACTCTAGGTGTGGTCTTATCAAAACTCGGCACAATCATACGAAGTCTTTTTTAACTTGTGTACTCCAATTGCCCTGCAATAAGGGCCAACATATCATTTGCATGCTAATTTCTTACATTCCTTATACTCTGTGAACATTGATAATTAAGAGGCTGTACCAATTTAAAGAATCTTTTCTATTTGCACTACTCACATTTGGTTTTACTCTAACTACTCTCCTACTGCCACCTTGTTGCCCAGAAACTTAGTGCTTATATTTTTTTGCAGCCACTTTGTGTCCTCCCAAAACTTACATTCCCACCTCATTTTATAGTACCACCAAACTAGTTACATTATTCTAGGTCTCTGTGTCTAAGTACATTTAATAACGATATAAATACATGCTTGTTTAAAAATAAATCTTATATAAAAGTCAACAC